AAGAATGAACGGGATAGAAAAAGAACATGCATATCTGAAAAGGAACCTCCCAAACTCCTAGGAATTAAGCTTGTTGTCACTGAAATGAAGACCTCCACGGACAGGTTAATCTGCTGTGGGACCTGAACAACGGATCTGGGGAGCTTGCTCAAGACGCTGCACAGAGAGATGAGAGATGAAAAATGGGAATTTAGGGAAGAGCATGGGATGGGAGGGCCTGGTGACTGGAGTTCCAACCTGAGAGGCTCAAGAGAATGGAGGAGATTTTTGAAGAGATACAGTTGAGAATTTTCCCGAATTGCTGGAGGACATGAATCTTGAGCTTTGCAGAAAATGTGTACCTCTGAGAAGCAAATGGTATAAATAAAAATAACTCCTCGCCCCGACACACATCCCCAAGAACCTGCAGAGCTACGCCACAGTGAAGTCCAGAAACACAAAGGAACCACGTCCTCCCTCTGCTGCAAGAAAAGCTCAGCACAGACCACCACCAGGTGAGAGCAAGGGCAAACTCACGACCTTTCCAGACAAATAAAGCCCAAGAGAGGTGAGCACTATGGGCCCTCCACGAAGGAACAACTGGAGATCCTTCAAGAAGGAAGCTGAGCCCAGAGTGCAATGCAAAAAGAGAGAGGGTAAGCAAAGTAGTGAACACACGAGTCAAATTCAAATTTAAGCAGCACTTGGGTGTTCAAAATAACAGCAGTAGTAAAACAGGCACCTAAGTCACGCACTGGTGCAAGGATTTCACTGGATTTAACTCCTATGAGCCCCCCATTCCCTCTGCACCCCCCACCTCTCAGGTTCTCCGGAGCTGGCACAGCCCACCCCTCTGGGGCCAGACTGACTGAGCATGCAGAACCTCCCCAGGGCCACAGCCCGAATGGGCCATCAGTCACATGTACCTGGAGTTTCTGGTTAATTCTGGGCTCTGGCATTTCAAGTGACCACTGGAAGGGCCAGAAAACAACATCTGAAAGTCTAGAGCACTAAGTCCCTTTGGGGAAAATGTGACCCAGAGCACACAGGAGACAGACAGGAGACAGAGGGATTCAGCAGATGGCCCCCCTCCTTGCCGTCTCTCTGCTGCCCATCAGGAGGAGCCCTGAGCACCTGGGGATGCATCTATGGGCAACCCGTCGGGCCTCTTTGAAATTTACTCAGAAGCTGTGGGCAGCACAGAAACTTCCCCTTACACAACATATCAGGGGGTTCTCAAAGCCAGGTTCCTGGTCCAGCTGGGGAACTTGTTAGAAATGCAGCCTGCTAGGTAACAAGTCCTCCAGGTTGACTCTGATTGGGCATGATCAAGTCTGTGAACCTCCTGGGAAGAGCACACACAGCCCAATTAAGTTATTTAGGTTCATCTGAATGAACTGTAAGTGTTGGAGCATTCAGGTGGGACTTGTGATAAGCTTTAATACTGCTTGCTAAATGTTTCTGGTTCCCTGCTTTTAAGACTAGCTGCAGGCCTCTTCTCCCTCCACCAGCACCTTAGTGCATTCCAGAGAGCGGCTGCTCCATCAGCTGAGGCCCTGGGCTAAAGTTGGCAGGGAACTGACCTCAGCTCGCCCACAACAGGCAGAAGATATGAACAAGGAAAAAAAAAATGCTCTTTTAAGCCACTAGGATTTGGGTATTGTTTGTTACTGCAGCATAACTCAGCCTATCCAGTCTGTTACTAGGCTGCTATTTTCAAAGAGCACATCTTCCCAAAGTGCCTTGAACCCCATCGCCTAAGTGACAGTCTGTTTTGCCAAGACATAAAAGCTATGCAAAGACAAAGATACTCACAGCACTGTCTCAAATGAAAGAAGAAAGACACTTATGCCCAGTGGTCTTCAGGAAACCTTTGATGCCTGGTGACCAAGGTGGGGCCAGGAGCCAGCCACTTCTGCAGATAATGGGAGGGGAAAGGTGTGTAGTGGGGAGGAGGCAAGGGGCAGGTCTGATGTGATCTCCACATCCCTGATGAGGACAGCTGTTCTGAGGAGGAGGAAATGCTACTAAGGAAACCAACACAGTGCCACTCTGGATCTGTGTTGAGCTCTGTGTTTTCCAGGACACTCTCACTATTTCTTCTCTTCCTCATTCCATGCCCAGGATGGTCCATCCTATCCCAGGTGGTCCAGAGAGGCCAAGGGACTTGCACAAGATTGCACAGCAAGTGACTGACAGAGTTACCCAAGGCTTTCCCTCCAGGGACACTATCCTTCTACTGCCTGTTAGAAACATGTTTCCAGGAAGATGATTTGGAGAAAGGGTGATGCTCCCCCTGCCCCTGCCCAGAACTCAGGAGTTGTTCTCGTGCAGGGTTCTCCTTGGGACTTTTAGTATCAGTTCTTAAGAAGCTGGAGGTTCTCTGTCCCCTGGGAGGAGGAAGGAGAAATTCAGGGGCAGGGGGCCCAGGTTTTCAAGCTTTTCAACCTGGTACCCAGGCCCTGAGCAGTCTTGACCATCTCACTATCACTTTTCCCTCTCACACGCTCCCAAGCCTGGGCCGGTCTCTCTGGTGGACAAGTGTTGACATCTGAGCGAGCTTGGCGGCTCCCAGCCCTTTCCTCCCATCCCAAGAAGCAGGTGGGTGCTGATGACAGCTGACGTCCACGTGCTACGGGCTGCACTGTAACCCTCCACTGCCCACCTGCTGAAGGCTTCACCCCGGCACCTCAGACCACGACCTTCCTTGGAGACTGGGTCTTACAGAGGTAGTCAGGTCAAAATGAGGTCATCAAGGAGGCTCCTAATCCAACACGACCATGTTATTATAAAAAGAAGACATTTGGAGACACACGCACACACACATGCCATATGGAGATTGGGGTTACCCTGTCACAAAGCAAGAGGCTGCCAGAAGCCAGGAGAGAGGCCTGGGACAGATCTTCCCTTGGCAGCCAGCCCTGCCCACTGACTGACCTCCCGAACTGTGAGCCCATGAACTACTGTCTTAGCTGCCAGCCTGTGGCTCTTGGTAAAGCTGCCTGGGAATTTAATGCTCCCGCCTGCGCCTAACCCAGCCAGCCTGCCTGTCCCCTTCCAGCCCACGCCCCACCTCAGCTGGTACTGAAGAGATTCCTTCTCCTCCCCACCCCGAGATGTCAAGTCAGCCCATCCCTCATGATCCAGCCCAACGTCCCATGAAGTGAGTGCAGATCACATCACTCTCTTCTGCCTGAGCCCGGCTGTTTGTCTGTCTGTCTTTCTCACACCCAGGCTCTGGCTGTTGGGGGTAGCTTTGCAGAGAGTTCATCCCACCTTGCCCTGAGGACGCAGACCGCTCAGGGCAGGAGCCACATCTCATCCTCCCCGCACATCCGCTGTCCGGGCCTTGCTGCAGCAACCCTGCCGTCCTCTCCTGGGAAAGTGGCTTTCCAAGCTCAGTCCTGAAAGTGGCTTTCCAAGCTCAGCTTCCTGGTGGATCTGCCGTGGCCACTTGCGGCTGGAGCTTACGTAAGGAGTAGGTCAGGAGGCTAAGAAGTCCCTTCCCAGTCAGCAAGATGGGGCCCTGCAATCAGGACACTTGGCACGCCAGCCCAGCCTGCATTTTCCAAGCGTTTTCCCAGCATCCACTCGTGGGAATTGGGCAGGACATGCGCTCGTCCATCCCGGAGCCCTGGGTTGACACCCAGGCTCCTTTATAACTTCCCGAGGCCATCGCCGTGCCCTGGCCTTGGGCAGGCCCCACACGTCCACCCTGCTCGGGCTTTATGAGCTCATGAACTGCCTGACCTGCTTCACTCCGCGTGGGCAGAGCTGCTGCAGAGCTCCGTGCTGACCTCGCTTCTGCCCCCACGTCCCCAGAGTCCCTCATCCCAGGTGAGGCACAGCCAGGGACTAGTCCTCGCTCAGTTCTCTGCCTGCTCCTGAGAAACAACCTTTGGGACTTGCTTTGAGTGAATTTCTTTGCATTTTTCCTACAAAAACCATCACTATTGAACCCACTTGCAGAAGCATTTTTCATTCATTCCTGCAATGCTATTAGAATCGAGCTTCTCCAGCATCAGGGGTGATGTGACAACAGGAGGGGGAACTGTCATTTCATTCCCTAGAAAAACACGCTCACCCTGCCTGAATCCCCTCTGCCCAGCCCCCTCTGCCCACCTGGATGGCAAGGAGGAGGCTCTCCACCTGAGAGGCAGAGGCTTTGGGATGGGGTTGCCTCTCAGGCACTAATTACAAGCCTCTCAGCTGCTCAGACAATCAAGGGCACACTTACATGCCACTGGACAGTCCCCAGGTCCCATCCACTGGGCAGTGAGTGGGAAAAGTCCCTTAGACTCTGGCAGGACCACAGTTGTTGTCCCAGGGAGGTGAAGTGACTGGCCCAAGCCCACGTGGCTGGCACACAGGGACCAGAGTCCCACTGCCTCACCCAGAGGGCCTGCAGCTGCCAGCAGGTCAGCTCTTCTCTTCCTGGGGGACACGAAGGCTTCTGTTCTCTGAGCTGACACAGGGTAAGAGGTGACGCATGTCTTCCATGCACTGTCTTTACCCAGTGTCCTCCAGTTCTTTCTGGAAAATCCTCCTGGCTCTGCTCCCTCTGGTCTGCCTTATCCCTGCCATCCTCTTCTTGGGGACTGTGGTTTTGCCATCAGATGTGACAGGCTTCCTCCCTCCCTCTCCTGCCTCCAACAAAGCCTGCTTGGGCGCCCGCGACAGCCTAGGCCCAGTACCAGGCGCTCAGCGCTGCCTCCCCTCTGTCCCCTAGACGGCCTGCTCTAGAGGGCGCCACCTCTCCCCTGTCCCCATCGGGGCCTGAACTGCCCTGCTCCCATCCACCCCAGGAGGAGGTGGATCTGAAGGCCAAACCCTTGCTAAGTAACATGTTTGCACTAAACCCACCACCCTGTCACACACGCAGCAGACAGAGACTTCTGGTGCTCTGGGGTCAGCTGGGGCCCGCTGCCCAGGGACCCTGGACAACAGCCCTGTCTCTCTCCCCTTCCCCTCCCACCCCGCCCACCGGCACTGAGGCCAGAGGAGCAGCAGCCCCTACGTACGTATGCAGAAGTCTCCGTTCTCGTAGTAGCCAGGGCAGCACTGGGACCTCCGCCGGTACATGGTGCGGAGGCCGCGCCGATAGGCCGTCTTATAACTGATCCTAAGGCACGAGGGAGAAAGCCACGTGAGGGCATTGAAAATCAATGGCTCCCGTTTAGGGTGATGTTTGTGTTAAGCTATATGGAGGATGCCATTCAATAATTACTCTAAAATGCACAGCGGCTTTCGATATGAAGGAACACAACAAAGAAAAATCGATGGCGGGGTCTGTGCCGCTGTGGGGCCGAGCGCACAGCGGGCAGGGCCAGTGGCTAACCCGTGGCTTCCAGATCTTTTCTACGCAGAAAGACCAAGGTGGACACAGTCTGGCTTGACACGGTGGGGGGCAGCCGTGGGCTTCACCTTGGTTCCGTGACACTTCCAGATGCCGGGCTGGAGGAGCCCATGGAGGCTGGGCAGGAGTGAGACCCTGGGAGTTGCTGGGCCCACCCCGCCCTACTCCTGGGCCTGGGGTCTGGGCTGCCCACTCAGCGAACTGAAGCAAAAGGACCCACTGAGTCCTACTCTGTCCCTCATAAATCTCCCTCACTCCCAAAGTAACAGCTCCTGGAGAGCCTCACGTGCTCTCCCTGGGAATCTCTAAACCTCACACTGCAGAGGAAGGAGCTGGGCCCACAGGGCAGGAGACACTCCGGCCTGGGACCCAGGGACCTGGGTGCTAGTCCCTGGGCACAAGTGTTAACACTTGGTCCTGTCCCAATAGCTCCTGAGGCAGCTACCATTATGATGCCCTATTTATGTGCTCTCTTTTATTGCTTGTTTAGAGTTTTTATTTTACATTCACCCAAAACTCCCACCTTTTGTTTTATGGATGAGAAAAACTGAGATTCAGAGAGGTTAATGACTTGCTTGTGGTCACACAGCTAAAAAGCGTCAGATTTGGGATTCAAACCCAGGTCACCCTAATTTCAAAGCCACAAGGGCCCACTGGCTGCTCTATGCCAGTCCTCTCAGAGTGGCTCTCGGGCCCTGCAGTGAGTCATGGTGAAGGAGTAAGGCAAGGGAAATAGGGATATATAAGGACAGAACCCTGAGGAGGGAATCAAAAGCCCCTTTGTCACAAGTAAAGTTAAAGTGGAGATTTGATGGGGCCATCAGAGACCAGAGAGGGGAAGTAACTTGCTCAAGGCCGTGGAGTTCACATAGGACCAGCCCCAGGTCCCCAGGCCTTAGAGTCAAGGCTCTTTCTGTCCCCCTCAGCACTCACGGGCCCTGCCCTATGGACCCCTCCACAGCAGCAGAGCAGCAGAGCAGCAGGGGTGGAGGTGCCCACAGCCTGCCTCCTGTAGAGGGTGGGCCAGGTGGGGAAGGGAGTCCCCCAGCACAGGCCCAGACAACCTCCCAGTCCTAAAGCCCTCACTTCATGACAAATGACAGTGCAGGCCTCAGGGAAATCTGTGATATTTGGGAATGTCGTGAGCTAAGGTCATTCTACTTCGTCAAAAGCCCATAATGGAAGGTAAGTCAGCCTCCCAGGGAAGCAGCTTCCTCCGCACAGGAGGCACTATCGGGGGCTGTGTGAGCCTTGCAGATAAAGAATGAATGACTCCATCCCGGCACCGGAAAGAAAATGACTCAGAGGAGTGTGACTGAGAGGTCATCATTCGGTCCATTGTCCCCACCAAGTTGGAGTACCCTGAGCCCTCCCAAAAGGGGAGGTGGGCTTGGCATCGATAACATGAATGCCTGTGAGGAGAGAGAGGCCACCCCTTGTCTCTGGCTCCCCCTCCTGGTTTGCTCCCCCTGTGGGAAGCAGGACAGGGCAGGGCCATGGGCAGGCTGCTTTCAGGAGAAGGACCCTGAATGACAACAAGCTATTCCACACCTAAGCAGACGGATGGTGCCGCTTTCAGCATGCACACTCCGGGTCATTGGGAGAGTTGCAAGTCGACTCAATAATTTAACAAAATAATTCATGTTCTGGGAATATAACCTGTTTTAGTAAGCAGCCACTCCCTCACCCATGCCTAGGGGTGATGGACGGCAGCCGTGGCCTCCAAGTATCCAAAAGAGCCACACTCAGAGCAAACCTGGCTCTGGCACAGGGATGCCACGGAGCAGGGGAGGAGCAGGACTCCCATCTCTGCCTTTGACCAGGGCCACAAGCAACCAACTCTGGTAAACCTGGGGGAGGTTAGAGGGAATAGTTGGCCCCATCTCCACATCTCAGGTTCAAAGGCTAGAGGAGGGGGATGAGGGCATGGCTGAGTAGCTCCTGTTAGATCAAACTTTTTGCAACTAACAACTCTGAAATCTGGAGGAAAACATAAAAAGCAACTCCTTGGAGACATTAGAGAGAGAATAAAAGCAGACGGGAGTGGACACTTTTTTTTTTTTTTTTTAATGTGCTAATGTGGGGATTGTACCTATGGCCTCATGAATGCTAGGCGAGAAGGGAATGGCCCCAGGCAGAAACAATAGCTCAATAATACTCCCAGTGACTAAAATTCAAACAGAAAACTCGCAGTCTTACTATGGACGACTAGGGTTCCAACCTCAGGGGACCATGGGATGTGGCATAGATGTGCTTCATGGCTGTGCCCTCCACCATCAGGGTGGGGTAGCTAGGGTGTTCATCTACCAGCTCCCCATCTGTCCCTGGCTGAAGATGCCCCCAAGGCCATTAACTCTCTAGCTTTTCTGGCTGCCCTGCCCTGCCCAGGCTCCTCTGGCCAGAAAGCAGTGGCCAGCCGTGCATCTCAGGCATTCAGTGTGCAGAGAGTGGCAAGGGGGCTCCGGAGGTGAGTGGTGACATGTGCTCCGGGGTTTTTTACTAATTTGCACCAAGGCAAGCCATGAGGACCTGCACCCTTCCCGCCCCATCATCTGAGAGAGGTACTCACCGGTGCCGGGTGCACTTGAACCAGTTGAGGATATCTGTGCATCGCGTGTAATAGATCTGATCGAAGGGGTGTGCATACGACTCCTGGACAGTCACGGCGTAGCTGGGAACCAGACAGGGCATAGAAGCCATGGTCAGCATTGGACAGGATGACTGACCTGAAGTCAGGATGCTGCCTCCCTCCCCAGGCTCACCCACCACAGCCCTGAGGCCACTCCCCAATCTCCCCAGCTACCATGGATGCCCCCAGTATGCAAACCTCCCTAACCCTAGGCTGGCCCCCGGACACATCACATCCCTTATTGACCTCTGGCCCAGCTAATTTTCTAAAATTCTAGCTCATTTTTTCATTTGTCTGAGAATGAGCAAATGAAGGTTTAGTTTTATATTGTATGGTTCTGGAAGGCAGAGTTGACAAATTTTTAAGAAATATTTTATGTAAGCCGGGCACAGTGGTGCATGCCTGTAGTCCTTGTATCTGGGAGGCTGAGGCAGGAGGATCACTTGAGCCCAGGAGTCCAAGGCCAACCTGGGCAACATAGTTAAGACCCACTTCTAAGACAAAATTATATACGTATATAAATAAATATGCAGATACATATGTTAAATGTTTTTTCAGATTTTTGTCATTTTCAAAAAACATGTATGGAAGCTGATCTTGGTAGTAACCCTTTGAAGTAAGTTGCCCCATTTTATAGATGAAGAAACTGAGGCTCAGAAAGGCAGCTTGCCCAGGTCACTCAGCTGGTATCAACTGCTAATATTTATTAAGTGCCCTGTGTTAAATGTTTTAATCCCTTTTAATTCTCAGACAACCTTATGAAATAAATGGAATTATTGTTCTCACTGTAATAGACAATGAAACTGGGCCTCAGCGACTTCCCCAGATTCCCCCAGCGACTCTCTAGCCTATTCTACCTCTGGTGCATTTGGGGACACATCAAGGACATGCCCTCAAACCTCCTGATCGGAGAGGTATTCTGTCCATCTACCTTTTAGCTGTAAATGTGGACCTGTGGGTAGAAGGCACAGGGAAACAGATCTCAGCTTAACCAAAGTAAGCCTTCCTCCTGTCCTGCCGGTGGGGTGGTGTGAAATGGCACCTCCTATGCAGGCTGTAGCACACACGGCTGAGGGCTCAGGAATTCATTTGAAGTGGGTTGGTCTTATTCAGTGTTTCCCCCAGAAGGCGCCTGACCTGGGCCAGATGGCCAGGTCCAGGCCTGTCTGCTTTGCCTGAGGACACTGTGTTGGATCGTTTGCATGAGTGCTGGGCTTGTGTGGGTACACAGTGGATTCTCAAATGCCTCAAAGGTCAAAGGTCTGGAATCCAGCAGGAGGCAATGCTCAGGGACCTGGGTGGTGGGAAATTCTACTGGATGCGCTAAGGACGTAAGAAGAGCTCTTGATACGTCCCCGCCAGCCGGCACGCCGGAGAGGCGCCAGAGGCACAAATCTATTCAGACACAAGCCTCTGCTCATCTCCAGGCTTAGAGAAACTGAGGCAGCTCAACACCCATCTAGGCCTCCCCAAGGCCTCTCCCACTATGAAAATCCATGGCACTGTGTCACATCTCCCACGTGCCTCACTGAGAGGCGGGAGAATGCCCGTAGCAAAGTGCCAGGCTCTGGAGCCCAAACTCATGGGGCCACGTGTGAAGTTTGTCGCTTGTTAGCAGCACATCCTTGCACCTGTGTCTCAACTCCTGTATTATCAGAGACTTCACGGGATTATTGTAAGGACTAAAGGAGAGCAATAATGATATCTATCTATCCCTCAGCATGATGGGAAGATAAAACAAGATAATACGTATAAAATGCTTGCCAGGAACACAGTAAGTGTTCAACAGATGTTGGCCATCATCATGATGACAGGCAACGACTTACTTCCTGTGTCGTCACAGAAGGAGACTTCCTCCTTGACCAGAGCCGAGGACACAGGAAGCAAGACCTGCACTCCGAGCGACTCCCCACCTTTGTTAAGCACTTGGGGGTTCCAGCACTGAAAGGAACAGTGCTGCTCAGAAGAAAGGCACTAGCCCAACAGAGAGAGAGATGGGGTGTCAGGCAGAGATGGACCCAGCTCTGCAGGGTGCCCTGGGCTGACTGAGTCTGGCAATGAGACCTTGTACAGACTCCAAGTCTCTGACCTGAAGTGTGTGTCCCGGCTTCATGGCTGGGTGGTTTAACACTCCTCATTTGCCAACATGCTAATGAGGGGCCAGATCAATCTTGTAGAGCCAGGCTTTACTAGCCAGGGGAGGTCTCCACACTGGGTTTTATGGTGGAGGGGCATAATTAATGAGGAGCCCGCCAGAAGCACTAATCCAGCTGGGAAATTCTCCCTAAGCGGTCTCTGAGGACCGGGTGTATTTCTGGAATGATGCAGGCTAGATCTGTGCATGTATAACTGGCTAGTCGAGCTCCGTTGGAAACGTCGAGAAGGAGGCACCCTGGTGTCAGCAGGCAAGGCCTCCCCCCTGCAGCAGGAGGAGCCCAGAGGTCCCCAGCCTTAGCTACACTCCTGTCTGCTCGCTCAGGCTGCAGCTTCAGCTGATGGTCTTACTCACCCAGCCCAAGGCCCAGCCCAATATTTTCACATTCCAAATGCATTCATGGTGCCAAGGTTTAGGAAATGAAGAATCTGGTTTATGTTTGAACAGATCCACTGGTAGAAATGGGACTGTGAGAAGAGGAAGTCAGTGTGGGCCCTGCCATTAGGAAAGGCTCCCTGGAAAAGAGGACCCCTGGCCACACACAGAAGTGGGCAGATGGAAAGGGGGTGTCCTAGGGCCTGGCTGTCATACAGGAAGCACTGGTCCTCTACCGGGCCACATGATGGAAGTGCTGAGCTGAGGCTGGAGGCCAAAAGACTAATGGGAGGCTCTACCTGCTACCTTCCTGACCCACTGGGAAATAAAGGCTTAAATTCATCGAAACCAGAAGGGGCAAGGGGCCTGAGTAGACCTTGGAAACTCATGGAAAGATTATGAAAAATGTGATATTGGCTCAGAATCCCTGGGGCTAGGCCCCCAGACTGTTTTCACACCCCTCCCCCACAGTGAGTCTAGTGTGCCTAGGTCTGTGATACCAGTTCCTGCAGCCAGAGTTGTCAGGAAAAGACAAAAACGGAGCTTTACGGGTCCTCAGAGCACTTTAATGACACTGGTGGCCTTGATCCTCCAATGAGGCTGTGGGGGCAAGAATAACTTCTCTCCCCACTGTCAGAGCTGCATGTGGACTCAGAGTGGTTCAGAGACTTTCCCAACATCATAGAGCTAAGGGTAGAAAAATCCAGATTGGGATGCACTGCGGTCTTCCCACCACCCCTCTCCTATGCTTCCTGGGTTGCCAGACCACTTCCTTTTGCTCCAGTCTCCCCTCTATCAGGCTGCCACTAGAGCATCCTGTCACAGCAGGTCAAACTAGTGAGGCACTGTCCCCCTGCCTCCCACCCAGTCCCTCCTGGCCCACAGGTGTCCAGGACACAGAGCTGGCCATTCACCCTCACAGGCAGGGAGCGGGCACTGCCCAAGTCGCCTCCCTCCTCTATCATCTGCTTCCCCCACCCCACATCAGGCCTTCATCTTAATTTTATTCATTTGATTTATTAGCATCTAAGTGGCAGAGTCGTCCTGGTCAGCACAGCCAATCAATTCCAGGGTTTAATTCGGTTTTTCCTGATTGGGTCTCTGGTCACTGTCTTTCTGCTCACCAAAATCAATACTTTAACCTTGTGCTTCAAAGTCAGACCATCTGCAGGGAACCAGCCCGTTCCCCCAGGGCTAAGGCAGAAGGCAGCCTGCTCTCCTGCTGTGCCCTTAGGCACCCTTCCTCTGGCGGCCACCCCCCCACTCCGCCCCCATAAGAACAGAAGCAGCAGGGCCCCTCTGCCCCTCAGGGCAGGCGGCTGGCCACCCAACCAAGCTGCCATATTGCTGCCAGTCCCTGGAGACCAGATCAGGCACCCCCAGCATATCAGAGAGCAAGACAGGTGAGATCCTGTCATTTACTATACCCCACCTGGCTGTGGACGGGGACTACATTCCTCTGGGCCTCTAAGTCCCTGAATGTAAATTGAGTGGGATGTGATGTGCGATCACAAGGAAGGCCAGGACTGGACTGTCCCCTGCATTGTCCACTGTAGTTCATCCAAGTCGCCTCCACTCTGACCCCCCACAGTGCTGAGCTCAGAAGGAATCTACACTGCTCAGCCCTGTCCTCCTGCACCTGAGCTGAGCCCCCAGCTGGACAGCAGGCCCTCTGTGGACAGCGGCAGCCTCTCCTGATGCTGCTCTGGCCCCCACGATGCCAAGCCCAGGGAGAGCCCCTGGGAGCGCCAGCTCAGCGTCTGCTTCTTACCTCTCCCAGTGGCTGCACACGTTGGGGTCCTCGGGGTTCAGAGCGAGGGTGGCTTGCAGGAGGAAGGAGGCAGCCAGGCCCGCCACGAAGAGCGCCATCGGGGCCCTGAGTGGAGAACAAAGGAGGCAGCTCGTTACTCAGACCGTGTGGCCTGGCATCTGTCTGGCACCAAGACTTCCCACAGGAGCCCGCAGAACAGGCCTGCCGCACACACGCTTCCATCGCGTGGGGTAGTGAGCATTTGATATTTTACGCTTGTGGGCTTGACTAACACCGTAACAGTCCTCCAGTTCTGAGTAAGTGGAGAGTGGGAAGCCTGACTCAGAGAAAAGCCCATATTCCCAGCCAGGGGCTCCGAGTGGTTTTTGGCTCAGGGACTGCTCCAAGATGAAAGTTATAGACCTAACAAAAGTTAAAACCCTTCTCCCCCAGAAAAATGCCCACACACTAATTTGGCTATAGTTTCAGGATGTCCTGAGGCCCCTGAGGCCTGGACCCAAGAACTCTGGGATCTGGCCTACTTGAGAGGCAGCAGCCTCCCCGGTCCCTCTCCCCCATTTTTGACCAGCCTTGCCCATCCACTCCCTCTCCCTCCTCCCTCCTGCTGTATCAGAAGAGAAGAAAGGGGGCAGGTGTGGCCCACAGGGGCAGAGCCAAGAAAGTCCTTCTGGATGGCCCTGGTCACTGGCTGCAAGAGTGCACCCTACAGATATCGGCCACCTACACCTCACACGAGGCAAAGGTGTCATTCCCACTGTGGACGAGGACTGAGACACCCCCATAATGAGCTGTAAGGGAGTGGCCTCTAGCATTTGCTTTAGACTCCTAAAGGGACAGCATGTGTCCAGTGTTTAGTGTGCACACTCAGATTTCAACCCCTTGTTTCCTAAATGAGAGATGTCCCCAACACAGGCTCCTTGAAGAAGACAGAGAATAATTTGAATGGGAGTGGCTGAGAGGACTTCAGGACTCCACAATTCTGCAGCCACAGAGAACAGATGCCAGTCCCAGGGCTCCCATCTGGTGGGTGGCGGACTTTAGGGGTGGGGACAGGGGGGTCACGTCCAGGGGAGCTGGAATTCGTGAATCCCAATGTCATCTGAAAACTGAATGAACACCATGACTCATAAAGATAGCACTATTTTTCATGTGTACACTGATGTGAGTGTGATTTATTTAAACGCTTTACTGCATTCAGAGTAGCTTTTCTTCTCAACCAGGGACACATTCAAAATGCAACTTCTAATAACAGGGGGATGGGGGTGTTCTAGAAAATATTTTGATGTTGAACAGGGGTCCCCAGGCTTGAAATGGTTGGGGATCTAGCCCCCTGGTCCTGAGTTTCCACATGAGGAACACATCCTCCCTGGGGGAAGATAGGAGAGGCCTGTATTTTGTATACACCCCCATTTGTCCCCAGAGCGCAGCTCCATGGAGCTCCTTCCTTCTGAAAGGTTCAACACGCTCCTCCTACCCCAATAATTTCCTTGTTAAACCCTTTCTCAGTAGCTCCTTCAAAGATAAATAAATTGTCACAAATTCTGTATAACCATAGGGGTCCAAATTAATGATTAATGAGGTTTTACTTTCTATTTGAGATCTGGAAGTCAAGTAGCTAAATGCAGATTAGCCAGATTCAAATGCCTTCTGCACATCCTCTAGGAGAGAGAAGAGTGAGGCTCATGCTCCTGCTCCATTGCAGAGTCCAGGAACCCCCAGACGCTCCCGGTCATCCCCCCCACTCACTCGCCACTCAACCTGGCTTGACAGACGCGCTCTGCACCTCAGAAGCTGCCCCACACAGTCTCAAGTTCACAAAGCACAGGGCTGCTGAGGATCCCAAGGATCATGTCACTCCCCTCTCCTTCAGATTCAACTAGACATAAGATATCTGACCAGGACAGGGTGTCCAGGGCTGGGGAGGGGTAGGAGGGGCACATGCATCTTCTTCCAGGGGAGATTCAGGCTGATCGGGCATCAAATGAACAAAGGAGTGACACAGTCCTGTGGAAGGCAGGAATTCGGAATGCCAACAGTGGAGAATCCCTTGGTGGCCCTGACTCATTACTTGGGCAGTTCCTGTTATGGCCAGCATTCTCCCCAGAGGACCCCCCAGGTGGCACTGACAGACTCTCTAAGCTACCTGCAGAAGAGAAGATGGATCCTCAGCTCCTTTTGACCCATGATGATGGGAGAGGGAGGTAACTTAAATCTTTGCTATAATTTGCTAGATCTTTCTAAATCCTGATGAAAACCTTTCTCCGACGCAGTGGCCCATGCCTGTAATCCCAGCAACCTGGGAGGCTGAAGCAGGAGGATGAGAAGTTGCAGGCCAGCCTCAGAAACTTTGCAAGGCCCTGTCTCAAAATAAAAATAAAAAGGGCTGGGGATGTGGCTCAGTGGTAAAGTGTCCCTGGGTGCAATCCCCAGTACCAAAAATAGAAACCTTTCTAAGTCAGGTCTAGACAGGACAGTTCAACTGCTTTCCAAGACAGGGAGATCCCTAGAGACCAGGGAACAGAGAGAGTGATGGATGTTTGGATGAGCACTCAAAAAGGGGAGCAAGATGGAGGGGGGAGCACAAGACACAGCCAAGGGGGTGGCATTTAGACACAATTTGAGGTCTGGCTTCCACACTCCTCAGTTCATTAGCATGACTATGGCAGGATTTGCAGAGCTAGGGGCTCCCCAGGATTCACACCCCAGTCTTGAACAGCATGTTGACTATCTGAGGCCAAATCCACCTCTGTGGTAGGGGAGTAGGGAGAGAAAGATGTCCAGCTTGAGGGTAGAAGAGATGACTCCTCCTGGACACCCTCAGCACTTGAAAGACCCCCGTTTCCCTGTCCAAGGAGAATCACACGAAACACTGGCTGCAAAAGCGCAAGAGGTTTGTTTATTGGGACACAGGCGCCTGCGGGTGCCCAGCAGAACCTCAGCCGGAGCTTTGGTGAGCTGGCACACCGGGCTTGGGGATACAGAAATTTTTATAGGGTAAAGGGGCAGTTTTCGCGAGCGGTAAACAATAGGTTTCTTATTAGTTAATTTTAAACCCAGCATATAGATTACCTAAAGGGCAAAGTTGTTTTTCACTGTATGTTACTGAAAAAGAACCACATAAAAGCTACATATTTGCACTCTGTTCCTCCTGTACCTGCTCATTCAGGCATGCCTTGGGACCTGGTCCTTTGTCCTTTCCCAACCGGTTACACCTAACTAATTATCTGAAAAACACCTCTGGTGCCTGCGTAGGTTTGTGACATGCCTCGGTGGTTTTGCAACTAGGCCTGACGTTGTTGGGCTGGGGTCTTTCACACTCAAAAACATTTTTTCTTGGAATCTGGCCCTATCTAAAAGGTGCATCCTGAGCTGGGGTGTGGTTCAGGGGTGGAGCATTTACCTAGCACACACAAATCCCTGAGTTTGCTCCCCAGCACTGCAAAGAATCAGTCAATCAATCAATCATTCTTATCCCCACCCTACCCTGTCTGGACTTCTCTCCTTCTCCCCTCCAGCCTGGCTGCTCCGACTGCTCTCTGTCCCCAGCTCTGTCCATCCAGATATCCTCCCCCTCACCCTGCCTGCTGCAGGGCTTGGCAAAGGCCCTCACGGAGATGGAGCCCCCACTGTGTCCCAGGCAGCCCAGCAGGTAGCTCACAGCTGGGGCCACAGGACACAGGCAGATCGCTTCCCATCTGCACTGACATCTTCCAGGCACGTTCACTTATCTTTCTGATGCAATCCTAAGCACCCCGAAGGTGGGTCGAGTCCTGGGCTGCCCTTTCAGAAACTGATTTCAGAAAAAGCATTTCAACTTGTCTCAGATCTTTCACTCAGGAGGAGAGAAGAGCGGCCATAAAGGAGCTGTCACTGTGTGGGGGCAACTCATCTCCATTCACTTGAAATGTGACTTCCCCGGGCTCTGGGAGGACAGATCCCAGAGACACATGCTTGTGAGATGACTGAGGGAAAGTCAATCCTGCCGCGGTGGTTATTAGGCCCACTCCATTTGGAGTGACAGAGGTTAATGTATCGGGCACCATCTGATTCAGAGCATTAATAATTAAATAGAAAAATGCCCCTGGATTCATTGCAGAGGAAGAGAACATGTAAATAAATCAGCTGGTCGCCCCCGCTCTTGTCCTGTCTATTAAGGAGCACAGGAAGGGAGCAAGGTTCTAGAGGTGGAGAAATGTCCTTCCTGACAGGGGCATGGGTGCTTTACACCATTGACTGGACAGTGGGGTGGAAGGGAGAGGGAGGCCAGGAGGCTCCTCTCCCACACCTGCCTACAAGGAATCATCCTCAGGGCGCACCTGCCACAGCCTGAAGGGATCACGGAAGCACAGGGCGGTGCTGTGGAGGGCGCAAAGAAAGCAGTCCTCAGCTACAGTCTGCTGACCCCAAGCAGCCGAGGGATTAAAACACCCATGGGGGCGGGGGAGGGGGCTTCAAAAGACTTGGGCTTGGCAAAGGCGGGGACTGCGTAAGCAAAGTATGGAGGCAGGATGTGCAGGGGAGGCTAGAGGCACAGGGAAGCAGAGGCTGGCACTGCAGAGCGGCCGTGCCCAACATGGGGAACGCGGGAGGGCAGTCTGCAAAGCTGGCATCTATGGAACACAAATCCCCAGGGATATTGACAGAAATCTCTCAGATAAGGTTTCCACAAGTGAATAGACTCTGAAAATGCTGCATACTATGTCCTCGACTTAAATATTCACCGCGCATCTTAGCAGACCTGAGGCTCTGAGAAAACTTAGAGAGACCTGTTTTCCTTTGTTTTACCTCGTTGTTCCCATGGAACTGTATTTAGTGACACAGCTTAATGAGCAGAGTTCTTCATAATACCTGGATTAGAAACTCTGCTCTTCTCCATCAGGGTCAAGTTTGAGGGAAGGCCTGGTCCAGGTCAATCTGTGTCCCTGCAGTTGTATTCACTGGTTTACATTTTTTTAAAAAAATATTTATTTTTCAGTTGTAGTTGTACACAACGCCTTTATTTTATTTATTTTTATATGGTCCTGAGGATTGAACCCAGCGCCTCACACATGTGAGGCAAGCACTTTACCACTAAGCTACAGCACAGCCCTGGTTTACGTTTAAGG